CTTCCTAAAAAACCGACTTTACAAAAGTGTGTACAGCTTCCTCTTTCAGCAAAAATCGCGCGATTGTACCGCCACACATTTTTGTAAATTATCTCAGAAATGATGAAATCGAAATTTGCTGTCTACCATTTGTTTTCTTATTTTTTTATTTCCGATGGTTGAAGGTGTAATAAAACTCACTGATCTTCGATCTTTAGAGATTCATCAAAAATCTTTCCGCTAGGAGACTTCGGGATGATCTTTAGAGGTTAACAACTAAAGTATGCTCTAAAATTCTCATTGTTCTGATTAGAATGCAAGTTCTGGCCCGATTCCGGCACAGTCCAGCTGAATCAACAATCTCTGCATGACAAAATCGAAAAAAAAGCTCAATGAAATCCCTTCAGTTCATCAATGCAGCGGCATTTGTTACTGTTTAACTGTCTCATAGCAGGTAGAAAGCTTTCAACTTCTATAGAATTTATAATAATCTTTGGATATTGATTAATTGCAGTTACCCTGGGACAATGTCCACCGGGTTTGTATCCTTACCCATCATCACATCAACCTTCAACTTGTTCTCCACAAGATGTTTGTGCTTGCCAGACTATGAAGCCAGGAGCTGCTTGTCAGTACTCTCAACAGCACATGAGATATATTTGCTGTACTGGTCAAGCACAACGTGAGTTTTTCAAATTTGATGATTTCCCAAAACCAAAAAAAAGGTCTCACTTTTATGTTTTCCCTAGATGAAAAGGACTTAAAAAACTGATACCGATGTCGTGGATCAATTAATTATCTAAATGCATTGGAACTATTTATTAAGAAGTACTTAAGTCAAAAATCCATAAAAATTTGAATTTCACCTATGTTCAAAAAAATATTTATGTACTACTTAAGCATTCTTTTTGGCTTTTATTTATTTGTCACTTATTCGCGTACAAGTAAATCATGAAGAACAGACAATTAAAGAAATCAAGTTGAAAATAACTAGTTTTTGCACTAGACTCAAGAACTGAAGCATTGATGAAGACTTCACTACCCTTGTTTGTTGTTTGACTGCGCAGTGCAGCATGTAAGCAAATATGTAGAAGTCAATGAGGAAAGTGCAGCTGACAGCAATGGCAAAAAAGGAGATCGCTGGAAATTTGAGGCATGTAAAAAATTAGGCATCCTTACTATATCGGTCCGTTGAACATCTAGAACATATGTCTTAAACATATCCAAGACGAAAGTTAAATTTGTGGTCCTACTGTTTGCTGACATATGTTGATGTGTAGCAGCCTCTATCTTATTTCTTTGTAGTTTGTAAGTAAGCATTAATATGGGCCTCATGGACATAAAATCGTAGAAATCAAAAAGGATAAATGCTGCCTTCCTTAAAAGTGTTACAAGACGGATTCTTGTTATTCGTGTCATGAAAAAAAAAGGTTCGCCAAACTGTTAGATTAGCTAACTGTCGTACAATTTTACAAAAAAAAAAAAATGATTTTCGATAAATTTCGGCATGATGATTTAGTATTGATTCTAATTCTGCTCAGCCGCATACAAGGTTGTCAATAACTTATTACTGACATTTCAATAGATGTGCCTCTTTTAAAGCATGAATGATCGCCACAACTCATGAGCTATCCTATCAAACATTTTCTTCACACGATATCGATTGCAGTTTTTAGTAAGGAAGCGAGCTTTCAAAATATGATAAAACTGCTCGTATGTGGTCTGTTACAATATTGACATTCTGCATTAGTCGCTATCCTCATGAATTCTACTAGAAAATTTGCAAAGAAGGGGATATTTCCATCCATAAAATTACTGCTTTCGATTTTAGCTTTTTATATTAGTTAGCATTTTGTGAGACCCAAACTGTTTAGCGAAATGCTGAAAACTAGGCTGGTTTCTCACTAACCGATTCACTTTTCCAAAGAAGTTATGACATATTTGTGAAGCGAAGGTACAAATGTGTTTGGTTTATTGTTAGATTCAATGAAAATACAAAATATGAAATTGAGTTTCTTTAGTCCATTAGAATCTACTAGAGGCTTGTGAAACTATTTGATTTTTATCTATCAGAAAGAGCGCTTTTTAGTAAGTAGTATATGTACATTTTCGCGGCTCGTTGCAAAAAATCATGTTCACAAATCGGAGAGGTTATTTGAAGATGTCAAATCAGTATAGTACACAGACAAATATTAAAATGAACTACTTTATTTCTTCTTCAACGCAAAAGCACCAAAAGCCAAAAACTTGGGACCAAGGATTGTCTTCTGAATCAAACACGTTTCAAAATTAGTTGCTCTAGGTGAAAAGAAAGGATGAAAAATATTCGTTTGCAAGAAATAAATCGCCTCAATGCAGTTCTTTTGATTGCTTTAGTTAAAATTTAGAGTAGCTTAATTATCGTGGTTAATTTAAAGTTATATGTCGATCTTCTATGTAAATCGCCTAAAACATTACCGCCACATGATCCTTTTAAAGCATCGATTATAGGCAATGGCATCATTGT